GTTGTACGTGTGACTAGTATGTACTCTCCAAATATGTATACGAGATGCTATAAACGCATATTGTAAAAGTTAACTAAAACCGAATAAAAGGAGCCGGCCAAGAGGCCACCTTAACACCAAAAAAAAAAAAAAAAATACCAAAGTTTCAAAGAAAAGAATAAAAAGAAAAAGAAAAAGAAAGCAACACCAAGATAGATAGAAATCTCTTAAAAAAGAAAAAACAACAAATTGAAAAAAAAAAGAAAGAAAGAAGTACTTGGAAAAAGGAAAAAATACAAAATATAGACATATAAGACAAGACACCAAACACTAATAAAGAAAAAGAAGTTCTAAAAAATAGAAAGAAAGAAATAGAAGAAACAAGTAAGATACAGCTAATATAAAAGATCAGTACAAAGAAATGAATGAAAGAAGATACATATAGAAAAGAAATACACGAATCAAAAGAACAGAAAAACAAGAAGAAGCAATAGACAATTTAGAGCCACAAGATCAAAAAAGACAAACTAGGAGAAGACAAATTCAAGCAAGATGACTTTGAACCAGAATCTAGTCGCAGAGTGTCAAAAACTGGAAAAGTCAGAAAAAGAAAGAGAAAAAGCCTAGAAGTAAACTACCAAAAGAAGAAAAGAAAAAAAAGAATGGTACAGAAAAATCAGAGACATGGGAATAGTATAAAAACTTGATTATTAGAACTGTTGTTAGAAGTATTAGATTAAAATATATACAACATAATAGTAGCGATTCAATGTACAATATTGTTTGCAAGTACTGGCCACAGCCAAAGCATCTTTATGTTGTAAATTATAAATATAATTAGGTAGTTCTGACAAGACATGTAGCCGCCAGCTAATGACTGCAGAGAAAAAAGTTCCTAGAAAGTTAAAGACCCCAAAAAAGGTCAATGGCTACTGAGGCAGGTTATACTGGGCATAAGCTTGGTGAGCCTCATGTTTGGTTAGATTAGTATAGCTATAGATAAGATTACATGTAATTTTTGAATAGTTTTAATCTTAAATAAACTAAGGCAGATTGCCGAATTATAAAAAAAAAAAAGAAGTTGTATAATATATATTGCTTTAAAAAAAATTAACTTCACATATAATCAAAGTTTACCCAGGTCACTATATGTTTTTCTTAGGTAATACAAAGAATTGCTAATTTTGATTGGTAGAATCATATGATGTTTATATGATATTATAATATTGATTACACAATGTTGATCTATAATCTATTTTATATGAATTCAGAAATATTGATACCCTACCCTTAGTTTTTTATTTTGAAGCTGAAGTTGATCACACTCTTCTTTTAAAACAGAATAACTTGTTTGGTGCCAATAAAAAGAGCCCAAAAGCATTTTAACTAACTGCTGTTGCAAATATTGGGATATAATTTTTCCCTCTTTTTTTCCTCACGGGTATCTCATATTTTCTAATAATTTTATTGCATCTTCTTTTTCATCATCATTTAAACCTTGAATAAGCTCAACCAGTTTGTCTTCTAAAGCGTTATTATCATCATCAAGACACTGGAGAGTATCTGCAACCTTTTTAATTTTTTTTGTATTTTTGCGATTAGCTGTTAGTTGTATCATTTGGCGACGTTTCTTTGAAAATCTAGGCATCGTAATTAAATGTGGCAAATTTCTTTAACATGGATTTTTTTTTTATAATTTTTTTAAATGTATTTTTTTTATTTAATTTTTATTTTTTTTTTACTGATATTTATAAACGCCTTGACCTTTTGTCTTTATAGAAAGCAAATAATTTAAAGACAATTATACTATGGCGGTTTGGAAACAATTATACTATATTAAAGACAATTACAACACCTTTTGTATATGTTACAATAATTTAGATCTTTTATTGATATTTATAAACGCTTTGACCTTTTATCTTTACAAAAAGTGATATTTGATTTAAAAATGGCATTTTAGAGGCAATTACAACGTTTTTATATGTGTTATAATAAACTGCCAACAAAAGACACGATATATGTCATTAAAAACTTGGTATATCAAATAAACAAAGAAGCTATGTCTAAAAAAAAGAACTATAAAGTCAGCCGATGATCTAACAAGCTTTTGTCTACGCGACAAAAAAAGAAATTTAAAAACAAATATCACAGAACAATTAACCTCAAGATCATAAATCAATGATAATAATCCACTTAATTCAATCAAAAAAAAAAAAATAAAAATGGAATATTGACAATTAGAATTTCAATAATAGTAATAATATATAATGTTCAGGCCTATTCGATTTCGGGTTAAAACAATGTAAAGATTGGAATCGATTAGTTTCAAGCATTGATTGGTCACAAACTTCAGATTTTCGAGCATTGGTAAAAAATTTGGCCGATGTTCGAATGTTCAGAGTTTTTAAAAATACATTAAAAAATTTAGTGTACTGTACAAAATATTAAATTTACTAATTGACTATTATCGCTACATTACTTAATATATAATTTACATGCATTATCAAAACAGCTATATATTAATCCTAAAGATCGAAAATAATAAAACTGATTGTTTTTATATTATATTCTAGAATATCATTCTGCAAAATGACTTTTCCTGCATTCGAAAACAAACGTTCATTTGTTGCAGAAATTGCAAGAAATTTATAATATGAACTTCGCAGTTTTTCACATGGCAATTACAAATGCAAAATCCAGAATCAAAGTGTTGCCAAACCCGGTATCGTTTTTTAGACCCACCACCTCTTCATTAATAAGAGAGAACTCTACGGGAATATCAGAAGATACAATATCTTTATTTAAATCAAATTCTATGTTTTTATTTGAAAAATTTAAACAGAATTTATGGAATTACCAATCAAAAAAAATAATTTCAATTTTGACTCTCTAGACTCAATGTTCAAACATTGGGCAGTTGATGTTTTTAAAATTCTTTGTATTGATATGACGGAAGAATTGTGCATACTTGAACAAGATAGAATTTAATTATATTGAAGTGCCTAAATTCAAAAATGTTACGAAATAATTAAATACAACTTGTCGAAGTATTGATATCCGTATATCATTATGTACAGTACGTAGTCACATTAAAATCTCTGCTACAACTATTTTAAGTAATTTAAGGGCCATTAATTAAACCAAACGCCAATCAAATAATACTTTGTGATATTACAAAATTTTTGCTATGTTTTTCTTAGAATTGCATCTCCTCGGCGAATATTCAGAATGTTGAAATAGTAAATACACTAACTAATGCCTTAGAATTAGTATTTCAAACACTCGTGTCAAAATTTTAATACCTTAGTTATTAAGCGAGTTATCTACAAAATAGTCGTTTTAGATTATCAAAATATAATAAGACAATCAAAATTTTAAATATAAAAGAAAAAAATCATCACGACAAATTAAAAAGCACGCTTTTTTACCCTATTTTATATTGTCTTTAAGTTCGAATAATTAATACTGTAAAAAGGGTTGGATTTTAAAGATTCATCTTCATTTGTGTAACAGCACAATCATATAAAAAAATTGCCCTAATTGTTTTACTATAGGACTATATCGATTTTTGTTACGTACAATTAGTCGATCAAACACCCCATGGCCAGGGACATGTAAAAATATCGATTTGATTTGGCAAAAATATCTTTCGATATGGTCAAAAATATCGATTTATATCGA